TTAGAACCTAAAAAAGTTTCTATTACTTTTTTTTTCTAAATATATTTTCTTTTAAAAGTTATAAATAATAATGTTATAGTTACATTGTTATTGGATCTGAATTGTATCTTTCATAGAGAAGTTCCTGCTAGTCACTCTTCTGGGGCGGGGGTCTGCGGACAGTCCTTGTACTCATAGATGAGGACATGAGACCCCCATATTATAAGTGGCTTCCCATGCCAGTGTCCATCCCCTTTTTCCGGAACTTTCTGTGCTGCTCCCTGTTCTGCATCCCATCACTTTGAACGTCCCTCCTTCATTGGGTGCTGGTAATATTGGGGACCCCTTTGATGAGCTCCTTACTTGTACAGAGGACCCCATAGTCTTCCCTTCCCCCCACCCCTATAATATCCTTCCCTTGTCATGGATGAGGCTGGTGACAACTCGGACACCCTCTACTTGCAACCCTTCAGAATAAGTGGACCTTTCACATGTGGTCCAAGGTCAGTTCTTGTGGACTTTCCTCACCTATCTTGTCAGAACCCTTGTTTGGTATTGGTGACCCCAAATGTGTTCACTTCTGGACCCTCTATATCTGCACCAAGGGTTGTTATATGCAGAGAACCCTCAATGTCTTCCCCATCCTTTGTGATTTTGGGCACCCTCCCAGCTTTTCCAAGGGTTCTTCTGTCCTCCTGCTACTGATCACCCCCCCCAGCATGATCTGCCCTTCCATGACTGGTTTTGTCCATAAGTTGTGTCTTATGGAGGAACCTACCTGTTATCTATGTTCCCCAATTTCACTTATCAACCTCTATCCTTCCTTTCATACTTCTGCCCGGATATGACCCTGGCTTTTTCAAGGGTCCTTCTGCTTTCCTACTGTTGATCATGGAATGGTCTGCCCTTCCATGACTGGCTGTATTGGACATTTCATGGTATCTTATGGCTGAACCCCCCTTATATTACCTTGGTCCTCAGATCCCCCCCTTATTACCCACTGTCCTTGCCCTTCATACTTCTGCCCTGACCCCTATATAATAGCTGCCTTCCCAGGTTTTCCATTGGTGCTCCTGCTCTCCTATTTTTGATCACCACCCTACCCCATCCATGGTTGGCTATGCTGGAAATTCAATGGTGTCTTATGGCTGAACCCCCTTATATTACCTTGGTCCTCAGATCCCCCCTTATTGCCCACTGTCCTTGCCCTTCATACTTCTGCCCTGACCCCTATGTAATAGCTACACTCCCAGCTTTTCCATGGGTGCTCCTGCTCTCCTATTTTTGATCACAACCCTGCCCCCTTCCATGGTTGGCTATGCTGGACATTCCATGGTGTCTTATGGCTGAACCCCCTGTTATAACCTTGGTCCCCAGATCACCCTCATGACGCTCTGTCCTTGCCCTTCATACTTCTGCAATGACCTGACCCCTATAGAATAGCTGCTCTCCCAGGTTTTCCATGGGTGCTCCTGTCCTCCTACTATTGATCTCCAACCTGCCCCTCCATAGCTGGCTTTGCTGGACATTCCAAGATGTCTTCTGGTCAAACCTCCTTATATTACCTTGGTCCCCAGATCCCCTTATCACTGTCCTTACCCTTCATACTTCTGCCCTGATCTGACCCCTATATATTAGCTACCCTCCCAGCTTTTCCATGGGTGGTCCTGCCTCTTACTGTTGATCACCTTCATGGCATGATCTGCATCTTTATAGCTGGCTATGTTGGACATTCCAAGGTGTCTCATGGCCGAACCCCTTTTATTACCCTGGTCCCCAAATCACCCTTATGCTGCTCTGTCCTCGTCCTTCATGCTTCTGCCCTGACCTGACCCCTATAGAATAGCTGCCATCCCAGCTTTTCCATGGGTGCTCCTACCCTCCTACTGTTGCTCACCACCCTGCCCCACCATGGCTGACTATGCTGGATATTCCATGGTGTCTTATGGCTGAACCCCCTGATATAACCTTGGTCCCCAGATCACCCTTATGTCACTCTGTCCTTGCCCTTCATGCTTCTTCCCTAACCCCTATATAATAGCTGCCTTCCCAGCTTTTCTATGGGTGCTCCTGCCCTCCTACTGTTGCTCACCACCCTGCCCCTCCATGGCTGGCTCTGCTGGACATTCCATGGTGTCTTATGGCTGAGCCCCCTTGGATTACCTTATTCTCCATATCCCCCTTATCACTCCCTGGCCTTGCGCTTCGTATTTCTGCCCTGACCTGACCCCTATAAAATAGCTACCCTCCCAAATTTTCCTAGGGTTCTTGGCCATCTCCACCACTGGGCACTCCTATGACAATCTACCTCTCCATGGCTGACTATAGTGGGCATTCTATTGTGTCTTTTGGCAGATCCCACTTGATATTACCCTAGCCCTTCAATCTCCCCTATCACCCTCTGTCCGTGCCCTTGATATTTCTACCCTTCTGTAATAGCTACCCCCCTAGCTTTTCCAAGGGTGTTTTTGCCATCCCAACCAGTGAACGGTGATCTGCCCCTCCACAGCTTTCTATGCTGGGAAACCCATGATGTCTTATGCCCTTATATAACTTACAGGCTCAGATCCCCTGTCTAGGCTCTTCATTCTTCTGCCCTGACCTGAACCCTTTATAACAGCTACCCTCCCAAATTTTCCAAGGGTGCTCGTGTCCTAATACTGCTAGGCAATTCCATAGGATGATATCCCCCTCCACAGTTGGCTGTGTTGGACATTATATGATGTCTTATGGCATGCCCTCCTCGTATTACCCAGGAATTCCAATGGTAGAGATATTACCTATGGACTCCCAATGGTAAAACCCCTTTGTTATTCATGGGCACCCAGTGTCAGAACCCCCCAACCCCTACATTACCCATGGACACCCAATGTCAGAGACCCTATATTACCCAGGACTCCTAATAGTATCCATGGACTTCCAATGGTGAAGCCCCTATATTATCCATGGATCCCCAGTGTCAGACCCCTGTACATTACCCATGGACTCCCTCCATCCCCCTTTATCACCTTCTGTCTGAGTCCTTTATTCTTTTGCCCTGATCTGACCTCTTCATAATTTCTGCCCAGTGACAGAAGCCTCCAGTGCCCTCTGGATTCCCCCACAGAGCCTGCCAACGGACAACTCCGCTGCCCCATGTGACCGACAGTTCATGTATGATGAAATAGTTTCATTGTTTCTTCACCTCTTTCTGATCTGGCATCTACACTTTGCACTTTGTGTTCTCATTGGGTGTCATTAAATATCACCATGATGGAACCCTACAGCGTTTGTTGCTCTTTAGGTTTTGGCTATACCAGAGGATCTAATTATGGAGCTTGGAACACCTTCCAAACTGCAGATTGGCATTGATAATGGGAAACGGGTGACTATAGGGCATTGCTGTCAAATCTGATTGGCATGGAATCTGGGACACCCTCCCCACGTTCCTCCTCGATGTTGGACTCTCCAGCAGTCTGTGATTATCGGTATGGACTATGAGTTGCAGCATGGCAGGGACCTAGATGGTTGCCCATATCTCTTCCTTGAAAATAGCTAATTTTTCCACTCTTGGAGATTTAACCCTCGCAATAAAACATTTGACTTAACTCAGCATGATGGATCTTCTCTTGATGGCCTACATGATATATACGACTGCCTAAAGGTAATTGTGCTCTGTCCGTTCCGGGTCAGTGCCCCCTTAGTCTCGGCTCAGTGCCCCCTTAGGCTCATCTCAGTGCCCAGTAACAATGGTGCCCCGGTTGAGCTGTCCATTGGGGCAACAAATGGTGTTTAACGCTCTCTCTTCTGCTTTGCTGCTTCTCCTCCACCATGTCCTCAGCTTGGAGTTCATGCTTAGTAATGTAACAGGCTCCTACCAGGCTTCATTGATGGGGAAAGCCTGGCATTGCTGCCATGGCACCAAGCTGCCCTTTGAGCAATCCGGCAAAGGAAATCTCTGCATCCATGAGCACCGCCAATCCCCCTGGCATCCCCTCTAGTCAAACATAAAGGAAACTGGGACAAAGGCATGCATTGGGGGGGGGGGGGCTCTGGGCCATGATGTAATGTTTCCGGATCTGGGTGGGTGTCGGTTAACCCTTTGGACACAAAGTTCCTGCCTGTAGCGCCATTCCTCTTCTTTCGGTGAGGGTCTCAGATTAGGGAGGAACAGACCAACGTGGGCTTTACAGCCTGGCAGAACAACATGTCTGGATGGCTTGGCGTTAATGGCAAGAATGGGCCGGGCCAAGCAGTCTGTTCTCCAGCTGGGTGAGCCTATCGCTCGCTTATTGGTCTCCGGCAGCCTGTGCTTCCAGATTGTGGATGGCATGGGGAGGGTGTAGGGGCCAATTTAGTCTGGCACTAATTAATGCTTTCGTGATTGGCGCTGGAATCTGCGCTCTGTTCTTGACACGCACGGTAACACAAGTCCTAGGAAAAAAAAAAGGCTTCCTGTATTGCAAACTGGCTCAGAATCCTCCCCAGCTGCGATCATGCAGCTTGTGTGTCCTATATCCATCCCTGGAATGTACTTCCTCCTCCCTCCTCCTCTGCAATTCCCAGAATCCCAGCTCCGAAAAGCAATCCGTGTGTTTTCCCTGCTGCTTCCTTGTGTTGATGAGTCCAGACATGAACCAAAATAAGTCTTCACTGGTCAGTCAATGACCTCTGTCATGATGGAACGTCAAGCCTGGATCAGTCCAGCTGGCATTTCTGACCAACACCACCCCCACCACAACCACCATCAACACCCCCCCCCCACCACCACAATCAACAACACCACCAACCAACACAACCACCACCAACACCCCCCACCACCAACACAACCACCACCCAACAACGTAAAGAACAAGTCCACCCGACTGTGAGGTTTCAGTTGAGGGATGAAGTCTAATCAATTAATTTACCTTCTAATATTGGATAGGAATACTACAGGTGAGATCTGCTGCCATATTTCCCACCTCTATTCGCACCCCAGCTGGCCACCCATCCCATTGCATTGTTGAATGAATGAATATATATATATATATATCTATTATGAGAAATCCAGCAGGGATGGTGGGAGACCCTCATAATGGGCCCACCAGGTGTTTCTCACCTAAGAATTGAGTGCAGGGATGGTGGGCACAGCAGGTGTACAGACCTGGGAACCCACCACAGGGATGGTGGGAACCCCACATAATGGGCACAGTGGATGTACAGACCCGGGAACTCAGCACAGGGATAATGGGAACCCCTCATAATGGGCACAGCAGGTGTGCAGACCTGGGAACCCCTCATAATGGACACAACAGGTGTACAGACCTGGGAACTCAGCACAGGGATGGTGGGAACCCCTCATAATGGACACAGCAGGTATACAGACCTGGGAACTCAGCACAGAGATGGTGAGAACTCGTTATAATAGGCACAGCAGGTGTACAGACCTGGGAACTCAGCACAGGTATGGTAGGAACCCCTCATAATGGGCACAGCGGGCGTACAGACCCCGGAACTCAGCACAGGGATGGTGGTAACCCCTCCTAATGGGCACAGCAGGGCCCAGTACCTCAGCACAGAGATCTCATTAGCAGATCCTGTAAGAGATAGAAAAGACTGTCAGGGAATTTAAATCTCCTCCACTGGCCTAAACCAGAAATATCAGTTTTCTGGGTGGACTCTCCCTTTTAATAGTTGCAGTGCCATGCCCTAGTTAGTAGTTGAAAAGAAATCTCTTCTCATAAGAAACTATTTCTAAAGACATGTTTCCTGTAAATGCACGTGTGACCAGGATGCACGTCTCTAGTAATGCACATTGCTGGTAGAGTCTCAGGGCGCCGGCGGCGTGGATCGGCCTTCACGCACGTTGCCGGTAGAGTCTCAGGACGCCGGCGGCGTGGATCGGCCTTCACGCACGTTGCCGGTAGAGTCTCAGGGCGCCGGCGGCGTGGATCGGCCTTCACGCACATTGCCGGTAGAGTCTCAGGGCGCCGGCGGCGTGGATCGGCCTTCACGCACATTGCCGGTAGAGTCTCAGGGCGCCGCGGCGTGGATCGGCCTTCACGCACATTGCCGGTAGAGTCTCAGGGCGCCGGCGGCGTGGATCGGCCTTCAAGCACATTGCCGGTAGAGTCTCAGGACGCCAGCGGCGTGGATCGGCCTTCACGCACATTGCCGGTAGAGTCTCAGGGCGCCGGCGGCGTGGATCGGCCTTCACGCACATTGCCGGTAGAGTCTCAGGGCGCCGGCGGCGTGAATCGGCCTTCACGCACATTGCCGGTAGAGTCTCAGGACACCGGCGGCGTGGATCGGCCTTCACGCACATTGCTGGTAGAGTCTCAGGACACCGGCGGCGTGGATCGGCCTTCACGCACATTGCTGGTAGAGTCTCAGGGCGCCGGCGGCGTGGATCGGCCTCCACATTGCAGCATTTGCAGTCACGTCGGCTGTGATCACACAGCTTGTAGTAGGCAGACTAGCACTTCTCATCGGTGACTCACTCAGCCATCATTTGCTGCAAATAGCAAGATCCCCGGCCTTCCGCTTCCCTTATGGGGACGTACTCCAAGCTGATGGTCTCGTGTTTGTCACATGGAGGGAGGAGAGAGCGATGGATGGAGCTTAATGGAGACCTGGCAGCAGATTGTTCACACGCTGCACACGTGTTCCCAGTAATGTGTCCGTTCTTCCCAGCATCTATTAACCATCACCGAGATCTCCCTCTGGCAATGCCTTCATTGCTTTTCTCTCCAGGAGGACGGCACCATCTTTGTTCAGGCATCATCCAGGGTCCACCATCTACTTCCAGGACAGAGCTGACACAATCCTGGTGCCTGTGCGGCGCTTGGCTGCGTTCACAAATGTCTGACACAGATCAGCCCCAGTGATAGAGTGGAGAGAGAGATTAGAACCCCTGTCGGGTTTTTATTGCGGTCTGTTAGGGAGATTCACTCTCCCAATTTGTCCTGTTTACTGTCATTACAAAGGGAAAGAAAATCCCAAATGTTGTCCCCAAAACAGGAATAGAGGAGACATTGTCCATTAGGGGACCAAGAGATTTCCTTAACTTGTAGGGATTTCCTCTCACTTCCTGTTTTGACTATGAGACAGGAAGTGAAGGGAAGTCTCCCCAATGGGACACAGATGGCAAAAAAAAAAAAAAAAAAAAAGCTGACGGGTTATAGTTAGTGCACCGAAACGAAAATTCTGGTTCCGAAAACGAAAATTCTAAATGCACTTGTCCAAAACCCAAAATGCACAGTTTTTAAAAATGAATATAAATGAAATATAAATGGCACCGGCCGATTTTCGTGGTTCCTCCCCTTTTCAGTGATCGGGCATGTTGGAAAATTCGTGAAAAACGACCGATTTTCAACTCAATGATGGTCAAATCGTACGATCGTTTTTTCCGAAAAAGAATATGCGCCATGAGCCGTGACCTGGAAGGAACAGAAGTTTCACCTGTTATACGGGGTTACTTTATGACTCGGTCGGCCGATTTTCAAAATCATTGATGGCGCCATTGTATTACTGAGCGAACAACGTTTGATTTTCGGACGAAAAATCGCTCGGTATTCGACCCGTGTATGGCCTGCATTAGTCATGACCCATATACGGGTATAGCTGTGTAGGCGAAACGCGTCAACCTGCTGTATCTACGTTGTGATCTTTGCGTGGTCTGTACAATAAACGTAGATTTTGGCTCAGTGGCGGGAGTGCGGATCGATTTCTCCACCCGAGTGCTCAGTGGGGAGACCTGCTCATTAAAATCACATGCTGTCCGTCCTAGAAATGGGAAAAGCAGTCAGCCAATCACACGAGCGGGAAATTAGATTGCTGTTGCCATGGTAACGGGGAAAGAACATTGGGATTTTGTTGCAGAATTATAAAACTGAATGGGAATATGCAATGAAACAGGACCAGGAACGCTTCACCATCACTTTCCTGTTCTATTCAAAATTAATATTTAATAAATTAATAAAATGTATTAAATAAAACATGTTTTTTCATTACATATCGTCCCGGTGATGACATCACTGGGTCTCTGTGCTTCTCTAGGTAATGCAGGCAGATCTTGGCTACTTGGAGGATCCGTCAGGAGGCTGTACATAGCTTCCTGAAAGCATCACAGTACCGGTACTCCTCGGTCCTGATGCAAGCAGTGGGCGGGCTCTTGGGAGGAGTTATTCAAATATCAAAGACTCCTTGATGGGTGGGTGTCAGTCTGGAGGAGTGGGTGTTCCTAGGAGGGCTGTATTTGCGTGCAGGGCGCCCACATGTGATGCTGAACGAACTGAAATCCAATGAGTAAAAGGGACGGGGTCAGGCTGGGGGGTGGGGACAGAAAGGGCTAGTTGATGTTGGACACCCTCCAGCCAGGAAATGAGGCGCGTTCTATCCTACTGGCTGCAGTTTCTAATGCACACTGTGAGAAGCCGTCATTGTTACCTGGATGGATTTCCCACTCGCTAGATTTTTACTGGCACCCTTATGTTTGGAACACTTTGGAATCTGTGAAAATTCAAGGCGGGTGTTCCCAGATTCCGAGCTCCGCCCCTTGGAGTTTTCAGAGAATTTGTAGGGAATCTATCTGCCAGATTCCTCGGGGGCGGAGTGCATGGGTCACTTTGAATGGGACGTCTATCTGCCGCTTTACGTTTTTTTTGGGGGGGGGGGGGTTTTGTTAGTGAGGAGAGGCTTCCTTTAAGCGCGGCGGTGTGAGATGGAGGTACGGCGGGAGCGAGTTGCGTTGGCTGTCCGGAGTCACGTTCCCAGCTGCGGCCCCCTGATTCATGGCACTAATAATACCGGTTCTTGGAGGGGAGTGTTCTGGCACGCTGAGACACTAGTACAGTACATCACGCTGCAAGCCTCGGGGGAGGGGCCGCCGATTGTTCTCCGCAGACATTTCCCCGGAATGTTATTAATAGACGCCTGACAAGTGCGATATGTACTGTACACCGCGCTCAGCGCCTGACACATGGGAGAGAAATTCCAGGAATTACCTCCATTGCATGCTGGATGTGTCAGCTGCTGCTGGGGGGGGGGGCTGAGACTCTCGGATTCTGATCAAAGAGGAAAAATCAACACATCGCTCCTCGAACTCGGAGCACCGGATCCCCGAATAACTCGGAGCACCGGATCCCCGAATAACTCGGAGCACCGAATCCCCAAATAACTCGGAGCACCGAATGCCCGAATAACTCGGAGCACCGGATCCCCGAATAACTCGGAGCACCGAATCCCCAAATAACTCGGAGCACCGAATCCCCGAATAACTCGGAGCACCGGATCCCCGAATAACTCGGAGCACCGAATCCCCGAATAACTCGGAGCACCGAATGCCCGAATCCCCGAATAACTCGGAGCACCGAATGCCCGAATCCCCGAATAACTCGGAGCACCGAATGCCCGAATCCCCAAATAACTCGGAGCACCGAATCCCCCAATAACTCGGAGCACCGAATCCCCGAATAACTCGGAGCACCGGATCCCCGAATAACTCGGAGCACCGGATCCCCGAATAACTCGGAGCACCGAATCCCCGAATAACTCGGAGCACCGAATGCCCGAATCCCCGAATAACTCGGAGCACCGGATCCCCGAATAACTCGGAGCACCGAATGCCCGAATAACTCGGAGCACCGAATGCCCGAATCCCCGAATAACTCGGAGCACCGAATCCCCAAATAACTCGGAGCACCGAATCCCCAAATAACTCTGAGCACCGAATGCCCGAATCCCCGAATAACTCGGAGCACCGGATCCCCGAATACAAGGAGATTTATGCAGGCTATAGACGGGTCAAAAATCAGCTGATTTTTCGGCCGAAAAAAAAAAAAAAATCGGCTGATTTTCGACCCATCTGTGCGTTAATTGGTCGGGCCGTTTTTCGGGGTTTTGGCACATTTTTTTAATCGGTAAAGTTGGAAAATTCATGGCCGATTTTCCCGGCATTGATGGGCAAATCCGCCGATCGTTTTTACCGATAAAAAATCTGCACATGAGCCGTCACCTGCAAGAAGAAGAAACAGAATTCCAGTCCTCTATTATATTTTATATGAAAAGTCTTGCAGTTGCAACAATGTATCCGAATAAAAACATCTGTATCCGAAATGGATACAAATAGATACATTGTTGCAACCGCAAGACTTTTTCATGTAAAATATAATAGCGGAGCTCTCTGCAAGGGACAGAAGTAAAAATGCCGGCCGTAGACGGGACAAAAATAGGCCGATATTTTTTTTTTTTTTTCCCATTGGTGATAACGTCGGCTGATTGAGCGATCGATTTTTAATTATTTTTTTTAAACGCCTGATTTTCGACCTGTCTATGGCCTGCATTAGGCTCCATGTACACTGCAGCTGATAAACTGACGTTCAGGAGCTTTTCTGCGTTTTTTTTTTTTTTTTCCAGCAGCCCCTGAACTCGCCATAATGTTTTCCTCTGTGTCCGTGTACACATCGTCGTTTACGGGCAGTTGAGTTTACAGTCGTTTTTTGGAACGCACCAAACTTGCATTCAGGAGTAGATTTGATCAGTGTGCCAAACGCTTGTAAATGCGGCTAACCGCGTTTAGAAGCGTTTTTTAACTGATCCATATCCAGATGCTGTCCGGAGCCTTTTCTCATCATCAGAAATGCATGCAAAGCGTTTTCCATGTATTCCGATGGACCCGGTACACCAGCGCAGTCAGTTTCATGTTTGGCGTGAAGGAAACAATGGTAGAACGCGCCGCGTTATCCTCATGATGGGATCCATAGTGACTACACTTCCAGTCCGGACGCTTTCCCCCGCCTTCCAGTCCGGACGCTTTCCCCCCGCCTTCCAGTCCGGACGCTTTCCCCCCCCCGCCTTCCAGTCCGGACGCTTTCCCCCCGCCTTCCAGTCCGGACGCTTTTCCCCCCCGCCTTCCAGTCCGGACGCTTTCCCCCCCCCCCGCCTTCCAGTCCGGACGCTTTCCCCCCGCCTTCCAGTCCGGACGCTTTCCCCCCCCCGCCTTCCAGTCCGGACGCTTTCCCCCCCGCCTTCCAGTCCGGACGCTTTCCCCCCCGCCTTCCAGTCCGGACGCTTTCCCCCCCGCCTTCCAGTCCGGACGCTTTCCCCCCCGCCTTCCAGTCCGGACGCTTTCCCCCCCCGCCTTCCAGTCCGGACGCTTTCCCCCCCGCCTTCCAGTCCGGACGCTTTTCCCCCCCCGCCTTCCAGTCCGGACGCTTTCCCCCCCGCCTTCCAGTCCGGACGCTTTCCCCCCCGCCTTCCAGTCCGGACGCTTTCCCCCCCGCCTTCCAGTCCGGACGCTTTCCCCCCCGCCTTCCAGTCCGGACGCTTTCCCCCCCGCCTTCCAGTCCGGACGCTTTCCCCCCCCGCCTTCCAGTCCGGACGCTTTTTCCCCGCCTTCCAGTCCGGACGCTTTTTCCCCGCCTTCCAGTCCGGACGCTTTCCCCCCGCCTTCCAGTCCGGACGCTTTCCCCCCGCCTTCCAGTCCGGACGCTTTCCCCCGCCTTCCAGTCCGGACGCTTTCCCCCGCCTTCCAGTCCGGACGCTTTCCCCGCCTTCCAGTCCGGACACTTTCACCCCCTTCCAGTCCAGGACAATTTTCAGCTTTCAGCGCTATCACACTATGAATGACAATTTCGCGCTCATGCAACACTGTACCCATATGACATTTTTTAGCATTTTTTATAGAGAAAACTTTTTATTTTGGTGGTATTTATTCACCGCTGGGATTTTAATTTTTTCTTCTATTTAAATGAAAAAGTTCAAAAATTTTGAAAAAAAAAAAGTTTTTCTTATAAAAGTTTGCAAATAAATAATCTTTCTTCACAAATCTTGGCCAAAATGTATTCAGTTATCTTTTTAGTAAAAAAAAAAAAGTATAAAAAGTAATGTATAGTATAGGCTGCTTTCACACTGATCTGCTGCGGTTTACCTCTGATCCCAACTGCACTCCACCTCTTATCCCGGCTAGCGGCCTCCAGAGTGGTGCCAGCAGCAGGAAAGAAGAGATCTTCAGGTCAGTGTGAAGAAATACACTGGGCATCATAGTATAGGCTGCTTTCACACAGCTCACACAGTATTTCTCAATGGCTGCAAGAATGCAGCCAGAGCGAAGGAGAAATGATTGCTTTTACACCCTAGCACTGTACTGCTAGGGTGCCAGTATGTTAAAAAAAATAAATAAATAAAAATAATATAAAAATGTAAAAACATTTTTTTTTTTTAACATACTGGCACCCTAGCAGTACAGTGCTAGGGTGTAAAAGCAATCATTTCTCCTTCGCTCTGGCTGCATTCTTGCAGCCATTGAGAAATACTGTGTGAGCTGTGTGAAAGCAGCCTATACTATGATGCCCAGTGTATTTCTTCACACTGACCTGAAGATCTCTTCTTTCCTGCTGCTGGCACCACTCTGGAGGCTGCTAGCCGGGATAAGAGGTGGAGTGCAGTTGGGATCAGAGGTAAACCGCAGCACATAGGGTGGCCTAGAACAGGAAGAGTTGCAGTTTGGGGGGGGTAGTAAAACCCCATAGTTAAAATGTGTTTCTACCCCCCCCCCCCCCCCTTTAGCTGCAGTGGCCAGGGTTGTACACACGACACCCTGTCATGGTTGGTGGGTGTAGCACTTGCCAAGCATGACCCATTCTAGTGGAAGAGGCCGCTCTGCAAGTGCGAGTTGATGAGGGAGGGGGGGGGGGGGGGGGGGACCAGGGAAAACACATTCTAATCAGATTAAAACGTCTTCTTTATGTTGGCTTGATGTACAGAAGAGTCATGTGCTAAACACCGAAGGAGCATTCAGCTTTACACAAAGCCCACGGCGTGACAGCGGGCCGCGTAGCCGGGAGAACAGTACACTCCGTGTCAGCCTTCAAACAATGCCGCGCCGCCACCCCACACTCCTCACCGCCGGCACACACTGTACCCAGCGCAGAGGCAAGGAATGCACCGGGACATTAACCCTCTCCCTGCCGTTCCCCCACCGGGCCGAGCGCAATCATCAGACAAAGCCGCCTTCCGCTGGGTGGCAGCACGCCGTTATCAGCGACTTATTCTACTCAGGAATAGAACGCCAACTAAATGAGGGCTCTGCGGGTGGAGGACAACGAGATTCTGCCAGTCGTGATTGGTCATAGGTGGACCTCGACGCAAGTGATTTGTCGATTTAATCGACTTAAATGATCTCTCATTCGATGGTCGTTACCTACAAAGGAAAGGATCAATTCACTTGAAATCAGTTGGATCTGATCTATACTGGGCGGCACGGTGGCTTAGTGGTTAACACTTCAGTAAATGGGTCATGGGCAGGGGCGGACTGACAACTCATGGGGCCCCCGGGCAATAGGGGATCATGGGGCCCCTTTGTCCTCACCCATACTCAAACCACACCCAAAAAAGCCTATGAAAGGTACTAGGGGCATCTCATGGGGCCCCCTACTGACCCTGGGCCCTCAGGCAGTGCCCGAGTGCACGAACGGTCAGTCCACCCCTGGTCATGGGTTCGATTCCTGACCATGGCACCTCCTGCATGGAGTTTGCAGGTTCTCCCTGTGCTTGCGTGGGTTTTTCCTCCCACACTCCAAAGACATGCTGGTAGGTTAATTGGCTCCTGTCCAGTCCTGTGCTAGTTTCATCCCTGGCCATGTGGGATCTCCTGCATGGTGGGGGTTGGGGAAAGACCTGGCAACTACCCTGTAAAATAATTGCTAAGAGAATTCATGGAAAAAGTCGCTTACGAGTGACGGTTCATGCAATCGCCAAGGGTCGGATACCACTGAATGGATAGATAGACAGATGATAGATAGATAGATGATAGACAGATGATAGATAGACAGATGACAGACGACACAGACAGACAGACAGATTATAGGGGATGGATAGATAGATGATCTATATTTCCTATCAAAATGTCGTGTTATTGGTTGATCCCCTCCCGTTTATTGCAGGCAAATGATACCGTTCTTTCATCCGGAACAATCATTGTCTGCAACAATCGTATGGCAATGTGTATGGGCACAATGTAGAGTTGTGTTACATACCAAATGTTCAGTAAAGGCATTTTTTCGGACTGTAGGGTGTGGGTCAAGCCTCCCCTGAAGTCTAGGGGTAAGGATGTGTGGCCCTTAAGCTCTTTTCTCCCCTGCCTTGGGGGCCCTTATCTTCTCATAAGTCAGCTTCAAATATGTGTAATGACATGCCTCCTCCATTCTCTGCAGAAGGTGTGGCCACTTGCTGACTTGGCAGAATCCACAGGCAGCTTAACTCTTTAAAAAGACACAAGTTAAATCCAACACAATGAGAAGAGCAAGGGGGTGGGGGGGTCTAGCTGGGATTGTAGTAACTACCTCTAAAACAGGAGGAGAGACCAGAGGAACATCTCAAATTCAAAAAGCAAGAAAAAAAGACATGCTGTTGTGGTAGCAAACACTGGTTATCCTCAGAACAGCCTGAATTCTTCAATAAGGTGCTGAAATTCTTTTAGGATATTTGATCCATGCTAAGTGAATTTCTTGCACAACCTTCTGCAGTTTTAGTCTGCAGTACAGAACTGTTATTGGAGCAGCTGTGGACTTTCTGTTAGCTTGGACAGGTCTGGTCATTCTTCTCTACGGTCTGGCCAGCCTTCCTACGGTCTGGCCAGCCTTACGGTCTGGCCAGCCTTCCTACTGGTCAGCCTTCCCTACGGTCTGGTCATTCTTCCTGTCTTATTAACAAGGTGTTTTACCTGGAGAACCACCGCTCACTGTATTTTTTAGGTTCCTCACCATTTTCTGTAAACTCTGCCGGCTGTAAGACAGTCGTGGTCAACTATTTGGGAAAGGTGGTATTAATGCAGCCCTTGACATCACCAGAGGCCCGGGCAATATTTTGTGGACATAATGCTACAGAAAGCAGTTAGGGACTGCATGTGTATAACAGGAGATGGTCAAAGACTATACACCCTCTGCAGGAGATGGTCAGAGAGTATGTGTAGGAGATGTCAGAGACTGGCGACCCGCTGCACGAGATGGTCAGGAGAGACTGGAGACTGGCGACCCGCTCCAGGAGAAGGTCAGAGACTGGCGGCCCGCTCCAGGAGAAGGTCAGACTGGCGGACTCCAGGAGAAGGTCGGAGACTGGCGGCCCCCGCTCCAGGAGAAGGTCGGAGACTGGCGGCCCGCTCCAGGAGAAGGTCGGAGACTGGCGGCCCGCTCCAGGAGAAGGTCGGAGACTGGCGGGCCCGCTCCAGGAGAAGGTCGGAGACTGGCGGCCCGCTCCAGGAGAAGGTCGGAGACTGGCGGCCCGCTCCAGGAGAAGGAGACTGGCGGTCAGGAGAAGGTCGGAGAGACTGGCGGCCCGCTCCAGGAGAAGGTCGGAGACGGCGGCCCGCTCCAGGAGAAGGTCGGAGACTGGCGGCCCGCTCCAGGAGAAGGTCGGAGACTGGCGGCCCGCTCCAGGAGAGGTCGGAGACTGGCGGGTCGGAGACTGGCGGCCCGCTCCAGGAGAAAGGTCAGGAGAAGGTCGGAGACTGGCGGCCCGCTCCAGGAGAAAGGTCCGGAGAAGGTCGGAGACTGGCGGCCCGCTCCAGGAGAAGGTCAGGAGACTGGCGGCCCGCTCCAGGAGAAGGTCAGGGACTGGCGGCCCGCTCCAGGAGAAGGTCAGAGACTGGCGGCCCGCTCCAGGAGAAGGTCAGAGACTGGCGGCCCGCTCCAGGAGAGAAAGGTCAGGAGAAGGTGACTGCGCAAGGAGTCCCAAGGGCTGCACAATAAGTGTCAAAGAACCGCAGATAGGCACCAAGGCTGTAAAGTGTAAAAAATCTCAGGAGGGCAGCAGTTTCTCAGATTCAACAACCTGTACATCTGCCACCAACAGCCATTCCACGGTCAGCGTTTCATAGTAGATCATTCAATATCTAATATTCCTTTGGACAACTGAATTCTTTGGTTGTGCGGTATTGAGTGGCGGTTGCATGATTCCATGCTTGCCTTAACCAGCATAGACACCTAATAAAGCAGCAGTACAAATAGATCATGTGAGTTATGATGTCACTGATGACATCAGTTTCCTGTAGCGGTATGACGAATGTTCCCGCTGAAAAGATGAATTCCCTTCCCCCGGCTGATGTATGTGGGAAGAAAGTCTCTCCCTAACTTCATGCTACAGAAGAACTAATTAACACAAAGTTTAAAAGACAATTAAATCCCCTGAACAGATGCAGTCATTCTAAAACGCCGCGTTATTAGCGGATAATTAAAGCTAACTGAGCGTGGACAGCCATTATGTGATGCAGCTTCCGCTAATAACTGGATGCAGCATGGGGAAATGTCTGCTAAGTGCCTGACAGACCGCCAAATCCAAGGGAACGCGGTTTATTCTCATCTGGCCATGATTTTTCACAAACTCCATTTTATTTACCTAAAAAAGAAAAAGAAGCAACATTTTATCGACGTATGAAACCAATGCAAGTATCGATCCTATAACAAGGGGTGATCGTTTTCAATAAAAAATCATTGGCATACAACACAGATTTCCACCACGGTGAGAGATACCCACTGGAGGTTCATTTTAAGTATTTACATATTTATAACAAGCAATAAATG